CGATCGCACTTCGCGGTTCACTTCGGGGAGGATTCCTGGACCTATCTGGTTGAGACATCAGGAATCGCGGCGCAGTTCGCGCGAAACGCTCATTGTCCAAGCGTGTTCGGCGAGCGTACGTGGCGAGTACACGAGGGAGCGAGGGTACCTATGCGACGGTACCACTGTCTGCAGTGATTTACGAAGCTCGCGGGCTCGTGCCAACAAACCCACGCGTTACATTCTCGCCCTCGAGCGGATACGTGCGCACGGATACGGCGACGATCGTATCCGGGGACGTCCCGGGTTTGCACAGGCCACGCCGACCTCTATAATTCATGTCGCCTGCTGGAAACGCCACTGGGATCTTCATCGACGGAAGAGCCCCAGTGGCAGATTCTGATTGTTAGTTCTTTCGGATACCGCCGGGATATTCCGCGCTGTTCGATGATTTTTGCTGAACAAGCAAATCGAAAATGTCAAATTCAAACAAAAATATACTGTAATAATAACAGTGTAATATATTTCTGTTATGTATATAGAGATTTAAGAAATTTTATAGAATTCTGAAGAGATTTGGAAATTGGTTTTCTTAAATGAAAAACATTGATCTTTTTACAAAGATAGTTTAAACAGTTGGAATACGTGTAAACGTAATTCGCAAATTGTTGTAAGAGTTCAGAATTAAAAATAAATCGCACTGTACTTATATCATGGCAAGGCAAAGAATTTTGAACAAAAATAACGAGCGAATTGAAAATATCAAATTGAAATAAAAATATATTCTATTATATACATGTTGATTTGAAAATATTATTTAAATAAAGATATTGATCTTTATGTAAAAACAGTTTAGATAATGTAAATGTGTTATAAGAGAATGCAAAGCTGCGCTTCGTTTGATTGGCAAAGCAAATAATTCTGAATAAAACAGATAAATAAGATTAATAAAATAAATTTAAAAATAATGGATTTCTTCTAAAAAGGCAGAGAGAATTATTATTACTCATATCATGTGTGTTGTGTGTTTTCACGATATATTACTTTCTAATATTATATTTCAACGTCAAAAAGAAATGCATGTCTCTCTCTCTTTAAAGAATTAATGCGACTGTCATTTTAATGAAATTTCTGCTTGGGAGGTAATTTTTGCCCTTTGAGATCATCAGTCGCCTGTCTGAGCGCATCAAAATTCAATTAATCGATCAACCGTGCGTGTGTGCATGCGCCCGCGGGCTCACGAGCGACAGATAAAATAAACGCGGCATAGAGGAAGTTGTGGAGAGGTTTCCGGGTTAATTAGTCTGTCAATGCGGCCGGCTCGCTCTGCACGGGACAATATGCGGGGAAAAAAAAGGAAAAAAAACAGACCGGGGATGGTTGATTCGACAGCAATCGCGTCCCTTTCGAATGACGTGATATATCGTGCTGTCTGTTACTGTCGTGCACCATGCACCTAGATATCTGCATCTTGTTCGTTGTTTCGCGTTTACGTCACGCGCATACATCCGCAAATGCCCGAGTGCATCAAATCTACGTGACACCGTAAAATTTTTCCAATTTTTCCGTCAGACCGAAAGTGCGATATTAGCATGTTGCAATTCGCCGCAGGTTAAAAAAGAACTCTCGCGGTACTTAATCACTCTCTTTCTGGCGCCGACTGCATCAAATTATTGGAAAGTCGACGTTTCTAAAATAATTTGTCTAATTGTAAACTTGTACATGCAGGTTTTTGTCAACCTTGAAATATTAAATTTCCTTAAAAGTTCTACCATTTCATTTTGGCATTGCGTCAAATAAAATTAACGTTTATTAATTAATTCATAGACGTAGTTATTTCTTAACAGCTCGGTGTAGATAAAAGAAGAACTGATTAAGATATGTGACGTATAATTAATTAAAAGCAGGAAATCAAATACTTGCAAGTACTTAGCTAGATTTGTATCTATTTAAATGAAGAAACTTCACGAAGTGTGTTTCCTCTCTTATTTTAATTGTAAATTTGTAAAGCTAATGTCCTTTTCCACCAATGTGGATTAACTTTAATCTCGACTCAACTTACTTAAAATTAAATGAAATTGAAGTTAACGTTAATCTACATTGATAAATTAAAATTAATTTTCGCTAGTCGAAATAAACATCGCATTTTGTTTATTATTCGTGTAAATCCAGACCAATTATCTGATATTTATACTGTAAAGGTTTGGTTTCTGAAGTGAACCGCTTAGAGATATTCATGCCTGAAACCACCGCTCGCGTTTTAAACTTTTCTCACTAATTGGATTTCATCGCCGTACTGACTAATAAAATCATACGGCAGAAACCGCGATCCATATAGGTCTTGCAGACAAGACTCGTCTTTCCATAGAAACGCGGCATTTTCCCAAATACGTATATTATCGCCGCTGCAATGATTCCATTGAGAACTAATCAAATGATACAAAGCTTCCAATATGCTTCCTTATATGCGTTTATCAGATACATTATTAATTTATTAAAGTTGGAAAAATGAATCTCTAAAACTCGTATCATTTTAAAGAAATTGTTAAGAAATTAAATTTAATAAAATTGTTAAATAAAAATCTTGACATTAATTATAGAAACTAAAACGAATAGAAAATATAAATGAAGTAATGAATAGAACTATTAAATAAAAAAAATTTATAATAAAATCGGATTAAAAGTTAAATTAAAAATTTATTGAGATAATAAAGAGATAATAGAATTTATTATTAAAAATGTATGTGGAGTTCTAGAATGAAAGCGTGAGTTGTAAGAATATTGTTCGTGTTAATATTGAACAAAAGTTGTCAACTGAACATCGTCAACTGTATTTCGTTTACTGGATTTCATTAATCCAGTGGTATAGCTCGTGCAAACAATTCTACTATATCTACTGCACAATGTGTACTGTAAGGTGTGCCGTAAAGTAAAACCAATACGGTTCCGACATTCTCAGTTAATCGCATTCGAGCCATCCCAGACGTCGTTAAGTCAATACTCGATCCTACGGCTCTATACGGTGGTAATTAATAATTTCTATAGTTCAGTTAAGTGTTAACCGATACACACCTAAGATATGTTAGTTGCTTCTGTAACAAAGTAATTAACATCTGATGACGTAAATAAATTCTGGACTTGACGTGATATTCGAATAATCATATATTATATTAGATAAACTGTTGATATTGCAAAGAATTAAATATTACAAATAACGATTACGATTTATTTATCTAAAGTAACACGTTTAGCAATCCATGTCCGACATAAAAAAATTTTCATTTCAAATTGCTAGATTATGTCGGATTTTCACAAGAAAGTCAATCAATACACAATTATCGCTGCATTTTTTGAATTGCGCTGTCGGTGTGTGTACAATTATCGCTGCATTTTCAATTGAAAACAATTAAGTTTGATTTTACGCGACAATCCATCAAATTTCATCGGTGACGATGTACAAGAAGAGAAAAGCAGTCCTTTAATGATACGAATATGTTAGATAATAAAATAATGGATGAAGCGATTAAAAAGACTGGTGAGAAATTGATGACCAAATTAATATAGAACGGTGTCGAAATTTGAGAGGATGGCGGACAGGAACTCGCTTAGGATTGAACGAGAGTTAACTACGGATCAGAACCATTCCCGACGGGTTTCGCGGTCGACATCATAAACGTGCAACATGATGATTAAGACATGTGGGCGAGTCGTTATTCACGCTACGAGCTGCATGTACTGAGAATCGACGAACGCACTGCTCGCTTTCGATGCAATGTGCTTTAATGATGTTACGGGCTCTCGGCGAGGGTGAGCGAAGGGGGATGACCACGGCTTGTTGACCCATTTTGGACTTTGTGCACGGCCCGCAACTTCGTTGCGACCACCGGCGTGTCGCCGTCCGATGCAGCAACTTCGCGTATTATCGCAATAAGAACTTCGTCGGCTCCTGCCGTTCCCGCAATCCGTCCGTTCCGTTCGCGCATACAAACCTGCGGAGCCCGATCGGATTTCACGACCGGACGTCCGAGCGGACGTGGAAGATGGAGGTCCCTAAACTTTAGCTTCATCTTAAAATTGGAAAACGTAATTCTGCCGGTCGTAAAGGCGATTTAAATCGAAAATTCGACGTGGGAGCCCGCTGATGAAATCAGAACGAATCTTCAAAGTTGCGAGTTTGAGAGTTTAAGCAATCGACGAAATTTCCTGATCGTAAAAGGAGCGAAAGATGGACTGAGAACGTTGATTTCATTTGTATATTTCAACGTGTTATTACGACAAATGGTTCTTGCATTAAAAGAAAATGGACTCAAGATGTTTCACTTGGAAAATCTCTCCCTTTCGACGTCTATTATCGGACAGATCTCCCTTAATATCTGTACCTTGCTTCAAGCGGAATCAATTATCTCCAAGTCTGAGAGCTTGTCACTTGATTGCGTAACAAGCGATAATAGCCTCTGTATTGATATTCATTGCGAGTACTCCGGACTCCGTAATAATACGCTGGACGCGCAATTAATGCCTGATTAATTAGGCATTAATTAAATTAATCGTTAATTATATATAATAGAACGTACAATAGCTGTAATAGAACCAACTGCGTTCTTCTTAAATTCGAATCAATAGATAATCACAGCAGTACTAAGTACGTCACTGGTAATCAGTGAATCAAATGTGAAGTCTCCGACCTAGCTAACTTTGCTTCAGATGAATAAATTCAATGCATATGGCATTGGAATTGACGTGAGAATATCGGTATTTTAATTATACAATGCTCAAACTTTTTCTTTTTTAGTTGAATTTCACTGATTACCACTGTGCCAAGTATGCCACTGGGTAATCAGTAATTACCTACCGATTCAGATTTAGAGAATTGAAATAAAAATATGCGAATTAAGCACACATCTTATTAAGATTTAAAAAAATCTCTTCCATCGTTTACAACAACGCGAAAGGAACTGACTTACAATTGCGGAGTCAGTCTTAGAGCGATTAAATACAATGAGCTTCACCATCATCTGCTTCGTATGAAATATCGGCAACATATCTTTTCGTTAGTTTAATGGTTTAATCCAATACGCCAATTTTCAATTGTCATTGTGAACGTGACATGCAATTATTTCGTACACTTGCAACTTTGAGAATCGATATGTAATACGGAGCGAAAAAAACTTCACAGTTCGTTCGTTTAATTTCATTTTCTTCCTTGACGTCTCTTTTCGCGCTCAAGAACTAACCCTGCTCGAAAACTCGTCTCTCTTGCGAAATAGGAACTTGCGAAGGAGGTTGGTTCGCAGATGCCGTCGATCGAACAATACCTCTTCGATGAAGAAGGTGCCGCGTGCGTGGTGTTCATACGCGTAATAGCGTGTCATTGTCATTAATGTCAAGCAACGGTCGATGATTGCCGCTGACGTTGCCGGATGCGTTACTATGATGATCCGAGTAGCGGCCGGGGTCCTGAAGAATTCTGTATGAGGGGCGCCGTAGTAGTTGTTATCGCCTGGAGGCACGGAAGTCGGCACTAGGCTATGCGAGGGTGACCACACCTTCTGGCTCCGGCGACCAGCAGTTGTCGGATAGCCAACAACCGATCACCACGGTGAAGAAGCCGATCAGGAGAGCCACAATGATGTAGATCTCCGCCTGTCCCAGCGAATCTGTCCAACACACGCGACATGACGTGCTCACGTGAAACGCACTCGATATGTACTTGAAACGTGCCTGAGGTCAAGGGAGTAATTAAGCTTTGCTTAACGGCTTCGAGGCTGAAAGGTCGCATGCATTATGAGAGGATCATCAGTACACACGTTAGGCGCTAATACACATGCTTGTTGCTTCATCCCCTTCAGGTATAATTTGTTATCTCGAGTCCACATATATGGTACAATTGAATTAATTGCATCAGACGTTATACGGCGCTTGGGGAAATGTACGACGGAGTTTGTAAAATCAAAGCAAAATCAAATACAGTGGAATAGCGTGGGTTACATGGAAGAAATCACAGCTCCAAAATAAAAATAAAAGCCGAAAATCACCTTTAGATTCAATACGTTTTTCGCTTGTTTTTCATTGATGGACCCAAGAGAAGTTTAGTTATTTTAGCCTGCAGTAATCTCGGCAAACTGTAGTAGTTATAACACAGATTGATTAGCAACATTTCGAAGTTTTAATTAACTGAACAGCTGACTAATCGATTGCTTAGCTGGCAGATTGCAAATTCGCTGATTTGAATTCGATAAAAACAAAATTCCAACATTAATCATATTCCAATATATAAAATATAGCTGCGTAAATATTATTGGTTTCTCTAACTGTTATCATATAGAAAAGAAGATTTAATATAAAATAATATA